GACGAAAATCTCTTGCAAAATCCTGCCTCCCACAATCATTCCTTCTCCTCCCCCTCCCCCTCCCCCTCCTCCTCCTCCTCCTCCTCCTCCTCCTCCCCTCCTCCTCCTCCTCCTCCTCCTCTTCCTCCTCCTCCTGCCCCTCTGCCCCTCCTGGCTTCTCCCCCTCCTCCTCCTCGTCCTCATCCTCCTCCTCCTCCACCTCCTCCTCCTCTTCCTCCTCCTCCTCCTCCCCCTCCTCCTCCTCCTCCTCCTCCTCCTCCTCCTCCTCATCATCATCATCATCCTCATCCCCATCCTCATCCTCATCCTCATCCTTCCTGCTCTTTCCTCCTCCTCCCCCCCCCGCCCCTCCTTTCCCTTGCCGCCTCGCTGCTCAGCGTAGGGTCGATGCCCCTGAGCCACTCGGTGCTCTCGAGGTACGCGGCGGACTCGTGGATGTCCTCGAGCTCCTCGGTCGGGCGTGGGGACCACTGAGACACTGGAGATGCCCGACACCGTCAGGACTGGTGCAGAGACGAAAGGAGTTCCGGTCAGACCAACAGGAGGACGCCGAGAACGAGGAGGGAGAAGGAGGGGGCGAAGGGTGGAGGGAGGGAGGAGGCGAGAAGGGACAGGGAGGATATGTTTGATACGTGCTACCTTGCGCCCCGAAGTGCAACAGTTTCAGCTCTGAAGATTACCGCAAAAAGTCAACAGTGTGGAGGAGGAGGAGGAGGAGGAGGAGGAGGAGGAGGAGGAGGAAGTGGAGGAGGAGGAAATTGAGGAAATGGAGAAACTGGAGGAACTGGAGGAAGTGGAGAGGAGGACAAGGTAGAGGACATGGATGAGGGGGGCGGAGGGGAAAGGAGGAGGAGAAGGTAAAGCAAGATGAGGACGTGGGGGAGGAAAAGTACATAGGTGAGGAGGAAAAAGAGAAACTGAGGTGGAGGAGATATAGAGAAGAAGCAGCAGCACGAGGACGAGCAGCAGCAGCAGCAGCAGCAGCAGCAGCAGGAAGGCGAGGAGTCTGGGATCGCCTTAAGTGCCCAGGGACGACAGGATGAGCGTCCTGTGCCTCCTCCCCATCCTCGTTAACCCCCTCCTCCTCCTCATCCGCCTCCTCCTCGTCGTCATCCCCCTCATCCTCGTCTTCCTCCTCGCCCTCCTTTTCCTCCCCCCCTCGCCGCAGCCAATCTGGATCGAGCCATCTCAGCTCAAGGTCACTCCCTCCCCTACGGGGGGGGGAGCTTGCCAGCCGCGGCCTCGAGGGCCCCCGCCCCCGGCGCGCACTTGCCGCGGGGCGCGAGGGGCGGGCGCTGATCAGCTGTGGCCCAGAGCGGCCGTGCGGGCCGGGAGGGGTGCGGGTCGATCCTCCTGGAGAAGCGGCTGGTGGACGGCGTGCTCGCGCTGCCGTGGCGGCTCGAGGGCGGCAGCGTGGCGGCCCGGCCCCTCGGGGCATCCGTCGGGGACCTGGACCGTGCGCGAGGAGGGGATGGCCACGGACGAGCGCGAGCTGGGCGTGGGGGGGGGAGCTCCGGTCCAGCGCCTGCGCTGCGGGGGCTCTGGAGTGCCCAGTCGGGAAGCCACTGGGGCACGCGGGCCTCGAGCTCCCGCGGGCTCCCGCCCCCCCCGAAGTTCGCGTCGGCTGGCCACGGGAGGATGGCCGCGGGAGGCGAGGCGGAGGTCAAGCTGCGCAACGGTGGGGGGGGCGAGGAGAGGCGCGGGTAGAAGAACGGCGCGACGGAGGACGTCATGGAGGCCATGATCGCGCCTGCGGAGCCCGAGCCCGACGTGGACGCGACCGTGGCCGAAGAGGCTGGGTCCGACGAGGAGATCGAGGCACGTGCGGGCCAGGACGGGAGCGCGGCCTGCACACCCGCTGCACCGGCTCTCCAGCGAGCCGCAGCTGCTGGGAAGCGACTCAGCACAGGAGGAACGCGGCGAAGCCCAAGGGCGAGAGCAAGAACACGCAGGCGCCAGCGGGCTTCCAGCCCAGCATGCCGACGGCGCACACTGCGACGGCTTCAACGCTGGCGCCGACCTCCGCGACTTCCATCCGCAGCACGACCGCCACGCGCAGCCAGCGCCTTGCCCAGTAGGCCGACCATGGCGTGCAGCTCGCCATCGCTGAGAGCCGGGAAGTCCCCGACGCAGTGGCCATCGCCATTTGAACCTGCCCTTGCCCGAGCCAAGGCCGCCCGCAGGGCGCGCACGCCCCTGCGCGATCGGCAGGTCGTCCGCCCACTCGCCTGGCCGCAACTCCCATGGTGAACATCGTCGGCCCGCCACGCCGCCGCAGCCCTGGGAGCCGCAGTGGCCTCCACCTCCTCGACCTCTGCCTCCTCGTCCTGCCCGCCCTGCCCTGCACCGCCGCAGCGGCCGCGCGGGCGACAGCTCCTCGGCGGGGCCGTGGGGGGGCCCGCTGCGTCCGCCGGCGCGCTGGGGCGGCGCGGGGCGCGGGGCGGCGGCGAAGAGCGCCCACGACCCAGCGGAGGAGGCCCTCCGCCGCACGCAGGAGCCGCGCGGCCTCACGCGGCCCGCCGGCGGCGGGCCCAGGCGCGGCCCCGGTTCCCAAGGCGGCCCCCGAGAGGCCTCGAACGCTGGGGCCGAGCGGGCATCCTTGGACGAGCCCGGCATCAGAACGGCGAGGCGGCGGGGCCCGCAGCACGGCGCTCTCGAGCCAAGACGATAGTGTGGCAAAGGAGGCTGTGGAGCACGAGCTGAACGCGGCGCCAGAGCTGGGCGCTGGCCACGCAGCGCAGATCGACGGCGGCGGGGTGCCCATCGTCGCCGCGTCACGCGCCGGGGACAGCGCGGCCAGGGAGGGGGAGCGCGGCGAGGAGATGCGGGAGGAGTGCAAGCGCAGAGCGCGAAGGTCCACGTGGAGGCGGAGGATATCCAGGGGCCGCTGGAGCCCGAGCTGGGCGTGCACTCGCCCTCGCCCAGCCTGGGTGCACTGGCGGCGCAGGCGGTCGACGCCTGCGAGGTGACCGAATTGGCCGTGGGCGTCGGAGGCGACGAGCACGAGAAGACATTTTTCCGTCGGCGGCGAGGCGGGGCAATCCGCTCCAGCGTGGCAGAGATGCAGGGGCACTACAAAGCGAATTGGCCGGCATGCAGGAGGGGGCAGGAGGAAGGACGGGGCGGCCGCGGGGGGGGGCGGGCGAGCACTCAGAGGCGGAAGGCTTCCGCCATGAGAGCACGGGAAGACAGACATATTGCTGGCCTGTGGGCGTGAGCATTTGCCGCAAGTTTACTCCACGGAGACGTCCCCGCAATACGCCACGGAATGCCGGGTGCCTCACTTCACAGTCGCAGAAGTTCGCAAAGCCATTTCAAAAATGGCAACAACAACAACAACAAAAAATGCTCCGACCAGGACGGTGTCGTGCTGGAGATGCTTGTGCATGCCGGTGAGGCTGTGACTCGGCGATTGACGGGTATGCTCAATGATATATTGGACAGAAGTAATATTCCGGACAATTGGGTCGCGACTTGTTTCTCGCTCTTGCATAAGGGGGGAGACGCGGAGGACCCAAACACTTGGAGGCCCATCACGGTTCTGAGCATCACATACAAAATCTTCGCGAGGACCGTATATGACCAGATGAAGGGGCGCCTCGACTCTCAACAATAAGAAAACCAATTTGGTTTCTGGCCGGCGCGCTCCACTCTACATGCTCTTACCGTGCGCGAGACTGTAACCTCCAAGGGGAGCAAGTGGAATGTTCCCGTCAGGGTGGTGAGCATTGATTTGAACAAAGCCTTCGACCGCGTGGAGCATGATGCGTTGCTCTGCTCACTGGAACAACAAGGCCTCGGCGAATATGTATATGTGCTCCAAAGGTTGTATGATGGGCAGATTGGTCATGTCGGAGACCGACGTTTTCAAATCAAGCGAGGTGTCAGACAGGGTGACGTGTTAATCCCCGTCTTGTTCGACGCGGCGCTGGACGTGCAATCGAGAGCTGGAAATCCGGGCTGGCCACAGAATTGTTTGCTTTGACACCAGATCCATGTGAGTCTCAGTTGACGAATGTTCGCTATGCGGATGACATTTTGTCATTCGCACAGTCATTGGACGAGGCTGTGTCCATGCTCGAATCACTGTCAGGTACGCTGAGCCGCTTTGGCCTGGAGCTGAACGCCAAAAAAACAAAAATCATGACGACGGAGCCCATTGAGCAGGATACGCAGGTGATCACAGAACGCGGCACCATAGACATTCTGCACGCGGATTCCAAGCACAAATTCCTCGGCAGATGCTTCACAGGTGACTTGGGGAAGCGTGGCCACGCAGCTGTAGAGCACCGAATCGGCTGCGCTTGGATGAAGTTCAATGCCTTTCAGCACGTGTTGACGAATAAGCATGTCAGGATTTCTCTTTGTTTCAAGCTGTTCGAAGCAATTGTTACATCAACTGTGTGTGTTATTCCCTCGAAACCTGCCCGCTGACGGAGTCTCTGGACCGTCGCTTGGACATCGTGCAGCGACGCATGCTGCGCCTCATGGTGGGGTGGATCTCGCACTCGGACGACACCTGGGAAGACCGCGGCCGCAGGATGAAAGTCCAGCTTAAAGCAGCTTTGAACAGCTACCCCATGCACGATTGGAGCCACAAGATACGCGACAGGAAAATCAACCTTATCGGGCAAAAACCTTTTTGGCCAGCACTCGCACGTCATGCTGCCGAATGGCTGCCGCCAGTCTGCAGTGACCTGAACCAGGCGAACCATTTTCGCAGAAGAGGGAGACCCGCCACTAGGTGGGACGACTAAGGGCAGGAGCCCAGGGCTCTGTTCCCTGTTAGGGTTCGTTTTTGCTTCCTCCTTCTCCTCCTCTTCCCTTCTTTCTTGCAACGATGTCTGAACGCACATTTTTCCAGTTTCAGTGCGTGCCCCGCATGGCGGCCGAACGCTGCTCGATCGGACCCTGACGTAACGTAACGGGCGTGAGCAGAGTGGGGGGTCCACCGACAGCGATCTCCCAGAGATGGGGGCCACGTGGACGCCGACGGCGAGGGCGCCCGCGCTGGACGAGGGCACGCGCCACGAGCTGGCTCGCGCTGCCCACATGTTCGAGGAGGTGCAGAGCGCAGCCGACAGGGCCGAGGACGCGGTCAGGCTCCTCCTCGACACTGTGGCGAAGGCCAAGGCGGCGGAGGACGACGCGATCGCTGGTGGCCCTCCTGGAGTCGACCCTGCGGCGCCTGGGACGGGTAAGGCTATAGCCGGGGCGTTGACCTAAGGAACCTTAAATAAGGAACGAGGCCCCTTGATCCCAAAAGTTCAGCTTGGATTTCCCATCCAAGCCAAACTGTAAAACAATCAAGGAACACCGAGCCCCTCCACAACGAGAAGGGTTCCTTCTTTAGCGCCCTGACTGTAGCCCGGGGCGGGCACGGCGAGGCGAGGCGCACTGGCCAAGGTGAGACCCGCGGAGGCGTGCTGGGGTCTCCGGCGGGCCCGCGGCGGGGCCGGGACCAGGCCCGAGCGGCCGCTGCGGCGCGGAACATGGGGCACGCAAGCTTTGGTTCCCCTCCCTCTCTCTCTCTCTCCCTCCCCTCTCGCCCTCCCTCCGTCGCTGCTTCCCTGGCGGAACCAGGCGAGAAGTCTCCCCCCCGCGACGCCGACGGCGGCACCAGGCGCCGCTGGCGACCTCCCGAACTCGCCCTGGCTTCTCCTGCCACCGGCTTCCGAGGCGTATGCCACACGTGGCAACGAGGGCGCCACCGGAGATCGGGGCACTGTCGGAAAACGTCCACGCTCCTCGATCCTCGTGGCCCAAGAAGTGCAGACGACGACGACGACGACCGACGACGACGACGACGACGACGACGACCGACGACCGACGACCGACGACCGACGACGACCGACGACGACGACGACGACGACGACGACGACAACCGACGACGACGACGACGACGGCGAACCCGACGACGACGACGACGACCGACGACGACGACGACGACCGACGACGACGACGACGACAACGACGACGACAACCGACGACGACGACGACCACGACGACGACGGGGGCCTCCGACGGCCGCCGACGGCCCCCGAGGGGCCGCCGAGGGCCGCCGGGGGGGCCGCCGGGGGCGCAGGCCGCGCGGCGCCTGCTGCAGCCAGGCGCCCTTCGCCCGATCGGCCTGTGCTCGAGTCGGGCCTGCCCCCCTACAAGGGGACCTTCGAGGAAAAATCAAGAACGGTCAATAAAAAATACTCAAAATGGGTCAAAACATATGTAAATATATCACATAAATATACACTGCTTTTTATACTAAAAAAGAAAACAACAAAAACAAACAACAAAAAACAAAAAAAAAAAAAAAAAAAAAAAAAAAACGTCCCCAGGCCATTTTTGACTATTTTGAATATTCCTCCTGTAGAAGGACAGGCCCGACTTAAGCCTGTGCCGCCCGCGGCGAAGACGCCGAGCCCGACGACCTTCAGCGCCCGGGCACGAGAGTGTCGGCGTCACCGTCGGCGGCGTCGTCGTTCGTCGCGGGCTTCCCTCGCTCCTCTGTATCCTCCCTCTCATCACCATCGCCGTCGTCCTCCTCATCCTCCCCCTCGCCCTCCTCGCCATCATCATCAGCATCATCATCAGCATCATCATCGGCAGCATCATCGGCAGCATCATCAGCAGCAGCAAATCAGCGTCCGCATCGTCATCATCGTCATCAGCATCATCATCGTCATTATCATCATCATCATCATCATCATCATCATCATCATCATCATCATCATCATCATCATCATCATCATCATCGGCAACAGCAGCAACAACAACAACAACAACAGCAACAACAACAATAATAATTATTTTAACCGAGTGCTCTAAGCTTCTACATGCAACATGCATACATCATGATAGCTCCCTCATGGGTGATACTTTCCTTGCGCACGGGTGACCGATATTCAATCTGCCTGATCTCCTGCCCGAGGAGGTCTTGACAACACCTCTTCCGAGGCACTTCAACATCTCCAGCCTTGTTGGCACATCGCCTTCGCGATCTTCCTGCCCAGGCCTCGCTTCTATGCATCACGACGCCTGAGTGGCCTAAGACCTCTGGGAGAGGCCTCCCAACCTCTGGGAGAGCCCCGCGGAGAACCCCAAGAGCCTCTGACAGAAGCTTCAGAGCTTAGGCCCCTAGGCCCCCCTAGGCTGTCGACCTCTTCCCAAGGGCCTCTTCTGCGTCGGCCACTTCCTGATGGCGCCGGGGCGCATCGTCGTCGTCGTCATTGCCGGACCCAGAAACGGCCCGGCGGTCTCGATTTGCCGAGCATGTCTCAGGCGAGGGCGCCTGCTCGGGATTCTGCGCCAGGTTTCGCGAGAGCCGCCCGGCACAGAACAGGCAAGCTGGCGAGTCGCCGGAAACAGAACAGGAAGCTGGCGTGACAGCTGGCGAGAAAGCTGGCGCGTAAGAGCGAAGAGAGGAAGAAAAGGGAGACAATGAGGGCGAGGGAGGGAAAGAGAGGGAAGGCTCCGGCGACTGGCGTGACAACCGGCATGAAAATTGGAAAGATAGAAAGGAAAGCGGGGGAAAAGATAGGGAAAGCTGGCGAGATAGAAAGAAAAACGGGAGAAAGTTGGGGAAAACTGGCGGGGAGAGAGACGCGGGAAAGATAAGATAGGAAAAGTGAGGGGGAGAGGAAGAAGGGAGGGAGAAAATGTAGGACGACGACGACAAGGAAGAGGAAGACGACAACGACGACGACGACGACGACGACGACGACGACGACGACGACGACGACGACGACGGCGGCGGCGGCGGCGGCGGCGGCGACGACGTCGACGACGCCACGCCCCAGGACACGAACGAGAGCGAGGTCGCGCGGAGCAAGCGCGAGAGTTAGCGAAAGCGCGAAAGCGCATTCATGGTGCCCAGCAATAACCATTGTTTAATACTTGTTTGAGGTTCAACAAGGACCAGGGAAGCCTCGGGGCCTCCGGGGAGTCTTGGAGGGATGGAGGGATGGAGGGAAGGAACAAGGGGGAGGGATGGGAGGAAGGAACAAGGGGAGGGATGCAAGGAAGGAACAAGGGGGAGGGAGGAGGATGGAGCTCAAGAGAGAGTAGCAGGAGGGAGGCTAGGAGCAGAAAACACGTGGCAGAAACAGTCGAGCAAATCGGGCGGGAAGACCCTCAAGGGGTCAGGAAGGCGGGCCCAGGCGGCCAGGTCGAGCAGGCGGGTTGCTCAAGCGTGCGTCCTGCATGAATCGCGAGGAAGTCTTGAGCGACAGCGCGATTCTCAAGTTGATCGTAAGAAATCCACAGCGAGAGCGTGAGTCCTGAGCGTCGAGGGCGCGGCGTCTGAATCAAGCGCGAGGAAGTCCCACGCGAGAGCACGATTCCTGCAAAAACTATGAAGACGTCCCGCGCGAGAGCGCGATTTGGGAATAAACTGTGAGGGAACATCAGGCGGGAGCCGCTGTTGTTGTAAACCAGGGGCCAGGGGCCCAATCTGAGCTTCAAGACTTCTCCTTGTGAAAAATAAGGTGCGAACCCCAATCGGAGCACATCGCTTGAAAAACGCAACGCTCGCGGGGTAGGAGGGACCAACAAGAGATCTTCTTCAGAAAGGAAAATTCAGCCACAACAACAACAAGGCGAAAACACACACTGGTGCCCGGGACCCAAGTCACCAGGTCGCGTTTTCGCCACCGGGGCAAAAACTCACACTGGTGCCCGGTTGCTGATCCCCCCCCCCCCAGCAACACAGCAACACAGCAACACAGCAACACAGCAACACAACACTGCAACACTGCAACACAGCACCCAACACAGCAGAAACCTGGATCTCGTCCTTACGGTTGTCGGTGTTTCCCCAGCAGGAAGAAGCATACACGCTGCGTGGAACCGAGTTCCCACAGCGGCTTCCAATGGTGTGGAACACTGGTAGTCGTAAGGTAATCGTGTACGTGACGCCCTCGTACTAGTACTACCAGTGGTAGTCCTGGTTGAAGCACTACTTGTAGTAGCACTGAGAGTAGTAGTAGTAGTACTAGTTGCTCTTGTCCTTGTAGGACGTAATATAACGAAGTAGTAGAAGTATTAGTAGAGGTGCTCCTAGCAGCAGTAGTAGTAGTAGTAGTAGTAGTGGTAGTAGTAGTAGTAGTAGTAGCAATAATGGTAATATAAGTAATAGTAATAATAGTAGTAGTCGTAGTAGTAGTAGTAGTAGTAGTGGTAGTAGTAGCAGTAGTAGTAGTAGTACTAGTACAGGAATAATAGTAGCGGTAGTAGTAGCGGTAGTAGTAGTGGTAGTAGTGGTAGTAGTCGTAGTACGAGGAGTCGTAGTAGTAGTAGTAGTAGCAGTAGTAGTAGTAGTAGAAGTAGTAGTAGTAGTAGTAGAAGAAGTAGTAGTAGTAGTAGTAGTAATAGTAATAGTCGTCGTAGTGGATGGAGCAGCAGTAGTAGTAGTAGTAGTAGTAGTAATAGTACTAGTAATAGTAGTCGTCGTAGTAGATCGAGCAGTAGCAGGTGTGGTAGTAGCAGTAGTAGTAGTAGTGGTGGTAGTAGTAGTAGTAGTAGTCGTAGTAGAAAGAGTAGTAGTAGTGGTAGTAGTAGTAGCGGTAAAAGTAGCAGTAGCAGTCGTAATGGCAGCAGCAGAAGTAGTAGTCGTAATAATAGTAGTAGTAGTAGTAGTAGTAGTAGTAGTTGTAGTAGTAGTAGTAGTAGTAATAGTAGTAGTAGTACTAGTACTCGCAGGAATAGTAGCAGTAGTAATAGTAGTACTAATAGTACCTGTACTAGTAGTAGTGCTTGTACTAGTAGTAGCAAAAGTAATAGTAGTAGTAGTAGTAGTAGTAGTAGTAACAGTGGTAGTAGTAGTGATAACAGTAGTAGTAGTAGTAGGTGTTGTAGTAGTAGTAGCAGAAGTAGTAGTCGTAGTAGTCGTAGTCGTCGCAGTAGTAGTAGCAATAGTGATAGCAGTGGTAGTACCAGCAACAGCAGCAGTAGCAGTAGCAGAAGTACTAGCAGTGGTAGTAGTAGAAAGTAGTAAGGTTAGTAGTAGGTAGCAGTAGTAGCAGTAGTAGCAGTAGTATTAGTAATAGTAATAGCAATAGTAGAAGTAGTTGTCGACGTCGTAGTAGTAGTAGTCGTAGTAGTAGTAGTCGTAGTAGTAGTAGTAGTAGTAGTAGTAGTAGTAGTAGTAGTAGTAGTATTGCT